TCATCTTCAGATAACTTCATGACTTCTGAGTTTATGAAATCAGAATATTAAAGTCATCGTCACTACCTCAGCAGGGAACCTCGGCAGCTCAGATACTGAGGAGGAGGCACGGAGTCTGCGGAATGACCTACGCACACAGAACTTCATGTTTACTTTCTTTTTCTCATCTGCTGCTCCTCTCTATTCTTTTCTTCTACCCTGTTGTTTTCCTCCTTCTTCCCTGTTGTTTTCCTTTTACCACCTTTATTTTTTTTCCTTACAGCTTTTAAACCCCAGCAAAATCTTTCAAGCAATATAAACATTACAATGTGGTTATATTCTTTTTCTTTGAGTGAATGATTACAATGAATATGAGTAAAACACAGCATGATCCCCATTTCCTTTACATGATTAAATATTTATGTATTACAGTTAAAAAACAAATTATTCCAAACAAATTATTCCAATGGATCCACATACATTCACATCTAAGCAACTTGTTACAGAATAACAAAGTGTAAGCAAACAAGGTATTTTTCTCAACCAGTTCTTTTATTGGCAAGCTGCATTTCGAGTTACAAAAAAAAAAAAAAAAAAAGATCAATTATTTTATGATTTATCTCAAAAGGTAATCTTATTTTTAAAATTTTAGGATCAGAAATATAAACTTTCATGTTTAAAAAAATCAGTCATTTCTATTTTAAATCTTCAGAGTACACACCCACTCAACAACAATTTTTTGTTAGGAATCTGAGGACAAAAATCAGTACAAGAAATTAATCATTGCCTTTAGCAAGAGAGGTACTTCAGCCAGCATTAGTCAGGCTGCTATCATTCTGGTTCCCTGACCTCAATAAGTCCCTTGCTCAACAAGCAAAAGTGTACCTTCCTAAACTGTAAATTGTTCCCAAAGGGTTTCTACATCAAAGCCATTAACAAAAACATCTTAACCTAACTTTACTAGCAATGGACTCCTCTAAATTCTTTTTAAGGGTTGGTGGTTGGTTTATTGGTCTTGTGAAAGCATGGCCTGAACCTGTAGAATAAATTTAATTAGTCAATGAAATGGTTTTGGCCATGGCTTACTAGAACAGACATAAGAAACATTTTGGAGATGGCTAAGAAAAGAGTTGTTAAATGTTCCAAGAGTAATAATGGTATTGTTTTGCTGTGCAATGACAATTTCAGATGATATATGCTGAAATATTGCCTGACGTGTTATGAATCTAAGTATCTCTCAAATGCCCTATCAAGTAATGTGTGTAGACAGAAGTTTCTGTCCTGCCTGGTCCTACAGCCATTCAGTCCTAAATAAACACACACAAGCTTATATTAATTATAAAAGTTTGGCCTATCACTCAGGCTTATTACTAACAAACTCTTATAACATATTCTTACCTATGTTTAGCCACATGGCTTGGTACATTTCCTCAGTGAGGCATTCTCATCCTGCTTCCTCTGTGTCTACTTGGCATCTGTATCTCTGCCTTTCCTCTTCGCAGAATTCTCCTAGTCTGGTCGTTCTGACTATACTTCCTGCCTGGCTACTTGGCAATCAGCATTTTTATTAAACCACTCTGAATAACAAATCTTTACAGTGAACAAGAGCATCATCCCACATCATTTCCCCCTTTCTTCTTTTCACAAGAACCCTGAATCTCATCTCCTTTGCTTAGCTTTTTTCTTGACCATCCATTATCCATTAACAACTTGTAACCAACATGCTAAACAAAGACAAACATCCATAATCCACTTGGGGGATGTGAACATAGTTTTCTAGGCTACTTCCTGCTGATTGGGGGGCAGTGGTAATCTTATGGGGACCCAAAGAAAATTTAGGATTATGGTCAAGTCCTGCCTGGAGTATTGGATCATCTTCAAGTCAGCAGCCTTGAAGCTGTTCTGGATACAGAACTCAGAAAAAAAGAGGCGTTCTGAAATGTTGGATCATTTAGCCCATTTATTCCCTTTGGAAATTTTTCAGGAGTTCTTTCTAGATCAAACCTTATTTTTCTTGAACAAGAATGAATCTATAGCCTCTCATTTCCTGTGGAAACAAAAGCAAAACCTCTTCTCCAAAGTAACATATATTTTCACTTAAATTTTGAAGTCGAGGCAGGCAGTTTTTAAATGTATAGGTTGTATTAATCCAGCAGCATCTATAGCCACAAGTCTTTTAGCAGCTGCTGCCCCTTCCTCAGGGTTCAAACAATCCAGAGACAACACAGTAACATGCAGTATCCAGACTCTCCGTATTTTCCATCATTTTATGGCTTTTATTTTTTGTTACTCTCTTTTTTATTTTTTGGTTTTTTGAAACATGGTTTTTCTGTGTACCTTTGGCTGTCCTGGGACTCACTCTGTACCCCAGGCTGGCCTTGAAACCACAGACATCTGTCTGCCTTTGCCTCCTTAGTGCTGGGATTAAAGACATGAGCTATCACACACAACTACTCTAGTTCTTTTTTAAGAACTTTCTCTATCCTTCTTTTCTCTCCCAAGCCTATGTATATTTTTAAACACACTGTAAACCCTTTAGAGGTTTGTTTTTTCATCTGAATCAGTCTTTACTGTATATCTCTATCATTTTCTGACCACATGAGTCTTCAATCTGCTAGGCTAGGCCAGCATGGCTAGGATAAAGCAGCAGCTGGCTCTGCCACATTCCCTGGCTTCCTGAGAGTCTAGCTTCATGATGGAGGTACTGGTGGATCCATGGTTATTGCCACAACTCTGGAGAGTTTCTAGGTCCGTGTCACTATGAAGAAGCATGCTGCCAGTTGCTCATAAACATCATTTAAGTGTTTGGCAGCAGGGGCCTCTCTCTCTCTCTCTCTCTCTCTCTCTCTCTCAATAATTTATTTTTTACATTCCAAACCAAGTTGCCCCTCCCTCCTCTCCTCCCACTCCCTCCACTCTCCCCTTCCCCCTTCTGCTCTACTGAGAGGGTAAGGCCTCCCATAGGAAGTCTTCTAAGTCTGTCCCATCATCTCATTGAGGCAGGACCAAGGCACCTCTCCACCACCCCCCCATGCCCCTGTGTCTAGGCTGGGCAAGAAATCTCTCCATATAGAACAGGCTCCACTAAGTCAATTTGTGCATTAGTTTTAGGACTTGAACCCACTTCCAGTGGCCTCATATGTTGCCCCAATCACACCATTGTCACCTATATTAAGGGAGTCTAGTTTGGTCTTATGCAGGTTCCCCATTTGTCAGACCTGAGTCAGTGATCTCTCACTAGCTCAGGTCAGCTGATTCTGTGGGTTTGCCCATCATGGTCTTGGCTCCTTTGTTCATGTTTGCTCCTCCCTCACTTCTATTGTACTCCAGGAGCTCTGCCCATTGGTTAGTTGGATTTCTGCATCTGCTTCCATGTGTTTCTGGAAGAGGGTTCAAGCTTCTCTGGGATTATAGATTGTAGGCTGGGTAACTTTTGCTTCCTGTCTGGTATCCACTTACGAGTGAGTACATTCTATATTTGTCTTTCTGGTTTGGGGTTACCTCACTTAGGATGTTTTTTTCTAGTTCTGTTCATTTGCCTGTAAATCTGAGGATGTCATTGTTTCTTATGGTTGAGTAGTACTCTACTGTGTAAATATAACACATTTCCTTTATCCATTCTTCAGTTGAGGGGCATCTAGGCTGTTTCCAAGATCTGGCTATTATAATAATGCTGCTGTGAACATAGCTGAGCAAATGCCCTTGTGGTGTGAATGTAGCAGCAGGGCCTCTTAAAAGAGCCCTGCGGTTTTTGCCAGTAATGTTCGATCAGGAAGCCTCTCCTAACGGGGCCACGCCTCTGCTTGCCTCTAGTAAACAGCCTACTCGAGAAAATGCTGCTACCAGGAAGCTGTGCTCTGTCCTGTTCTTCTGTGTTCAGAATCCCTTTTCAAGCTTTTGTCAGGTTTTATGTCGAAATTCTTGGCAAATGTTTGGGTGCTGCAGGTAGACCAAAATTTCTGTCCCACTTAGTCATGCAACTGTTTAGTCCCAAATAAACACGCAGAGGCTTTTATTAATTATAAACCGTTTGGCCTGTTGCTCAGGTTTATTACTAACAAACTCTTACAAACTTAATTTAACCCATAATCCTTATCTACGTTTAGCCACATGGCTCGGTACATTTCCTCAGTGAGGCATCCTGCTTCCTCTGGGTCTGGCTGGCAACTGCGTCTCCGCCTTTCCTCTTCCCAGAATTCTTCTAGTCTGGTCACCCCACCTGTACTTCCAACCTAGCTATTGGCCAATCAGCTTTTAATTAAACCAATACAAGTGACAAATCTTTACAGTTACGAGAGCATTATCCCACATCACTTTGCATATATATACATATAGACACATATGTCAAATCATCTAAATGCCAACTACCATTAATATAGACAGTAATCATTTGAGTAACAATGACACCATCCAGTCAACTTCTGTTTCAAAATATTCATGATAAAGAGTTGAAAGGGCCTCAAAAGTGTTAAGCAGCATACAGGCTTCGATGGGACATGTGGGTCTCCTCAGTGTCCATCTACAGGGCAGAGGCTGTCCCTCATGTGGCAGGCACCAAGGTGAGACACCAAGAATCACGGGGGGTGCCAAAAGGTTGGCTATCGTCTTCTAAAACTTCCTGTTGATGAAGGCCGCCCAGCCCAGGATTAGCCACGCTTTAGAGGCCCTCATCAGCCTCTTAGTACCCAGAGTCCCCCACACACTAGCCATGAGGACCGAGATCCTGAATGGCTGCTGGTAGTACAGGTATTGGAGACATGAAATTGCTGTAGGAAGGGCACAAACTGCCTGAGAAAATGTGAGTAAGCACTGAGGATCAAAGTGACAGTAGGTAACAATGTCACCCTGTCTGTCTGAAGGTGCTTGGAAAGATCTTAAATGTCCTAACACCACACACACAAAACAGGCAACTATGAAAGGTAATAGAGGGTGTTGTTAACCTGGTCATGGTAGCCATTGCCCAGCATTTCCATATCAAGTCAAGACAGTGTAACATAAATATACATGATTTATTTGTCAGTTATACATCAATAAGTCCAGTAACAGGGGGAAAAGACAGAGAGAAATGGGTAGAGGGACCACACCACACAGTTCTATCATCAATTAAGGCTTTAGGAATCTAAGAATGGACAGAGAAGCTGGTGTGCTTCCACATATGCACAAAGGGGATCCTGTATAGTGTCTGGTATATGGGAAATTCTCATTATATAAGAAAGTAAAGGATGAATAAGTAAGTATATTCGTGGAGCAGTATTATCATAGGTATACCTATGCCTAAATAGGTATGCCTAAAACTTGGCAGGTATCTATGTAATGGCAGATAAAAATGCAATCACATGTCCATGGAGAATGGTTTTTCATAAGTATATTTTCTTCATCTGACAAACTGACTTCTGTTTCACACTGCAAGGGGTGTCATTCCAGCCCCAACTAGAACGTGGATGACTTACTATAACACATTGTTCCTTGTCGTTGTTGGGCTCACCTGGGTGCCAGAACCTGAAAGGGAGGAAAGGTCATCAGGGTGTTTCCTACAGCAATGCTGGGAAAGAGAAGGCACAGTAAGCAAGTCTGAGGATGAGGCTGGAATTTGTGGAAATCAGATTCAAGTGTGTGCAAAGCAGCCATTCTCCACCACCCATATCTGACATTTCCCTGGAAAACACAGCCCACCACATTCAAAGTTCTCTTAGCTTGTCACTTAACTGTTCTCCCAGGACACATCCCAGAGGCTACTTCATCCCTAGGTCTCGGTACCTGGGGCTATCATTTCATAGGTGCTTATTTACAAGCTGAAAAGGCCTCTCCTTCTCATGTTTTAATAAAGTTTTTTTTTTCATTTTTACAACAGTATTACTTTAGAAACTGGAGAACTAGTTAAAATGTGTAGACGATCTAATAATTTCTGTCATCTAGGACAAGTAATATCCTAGATTCCTACTTTTCTTCTCTGAAAACTGAGAACAACAATACCATCACTACCTACTTCTCACAACAGAAGTCAGGATACAATATGGGAAAATACTAAGATATTAGAGTTTTAAAATAATTACATAAACACAAAACACAATATCAGTTATTATCTTGACATTAATTTTTGTTATAAAGATACAAATGAATCTCTATGTCTGCTTCCTTCAGTTGCTGGCTGAAGGTTCTATGCTGACAATTAAGACAGTCATCAATCTGATTACAGGGGAAGGCCAGTTCAGGTACCCTCTACACTATTGCTTGGGGTTATTAGCTGGGGTCATCCTTGTGGATTCCTGGAAATTTCCCTAGTGCCAGGCTTCTCGATAGACCCACAATGGCTCCCTCAATCAGGACATCTCTTTCCTTGCTCTCCCTCTCTGTCCTTCCCCTATCTCAACCAACACATTTCCTCATGGTTTTCTCCCTCCTCTCCTTCTCCCATTTCCCCTCCCTTCTCCCCCAGCTCATATTCCCAGTTTTCTCAAGAGATATAGTCTATTTCCCCTTCCTGGGGGGAGGGGATCCATATATGTCTCTCTTAGGATTTTCCTTGTTACCTAGCTTCTCTGGGGTCATATACTATAGGCTGGTTATCCTTTGCTTTATGTCTAATATCCACTTATGAATGAGTACATACTGTGTGTGTCTTTCTGGGTCTGGGTTACCTCACTCAGGATGGTTTTTTTCTAGTTCCATCAATTTGCCTGAAAATCTGGTCAGAGCTCCCAGAGTCTAGTTAAAGAGAGGAAGGAGTGATAATATGAGCAAAGGAGTCAAGACCATGATGGAGATACCCACAGAAAAAGCTGAGTGAGCTAGTAGGAGCTCACTGACTCTGGACTGGAACCTGCATAGGACCAAACTAGGCCCTCTGAATGGGTGACAGTTCTGTTGCTTGGGCAGTCTGTGTGGCCACTGCCAGAGGAAGCAGGAGGTATCTCTAATGCTTGAACTGGCGTTTTTAGAGCACATTCTCTTTGGAGGGGTACCCTACTCAGCCTAGATATAGGGGGAAGGGCTTGGTCCTGCCTCAAAACGATGTGCCAGACTTTGTTGACTGGAAGCCTTAACTCTCTCTGAGGAATGAGTGAGGGTATAGGAGGAGAAGAGGGAGTGGGAACTGAGATTGGTAAAATGAGAAAAGACTTTTAAAAAATAAATAAAAAGAAAGAAGAAGAAAAGATATGAATGAAACCTGGAGATATGGCTCACACATTAAGAGTGCTTGCTGCTTTTCCAGAAAACATGAGAGATACCTTCACCCATATTGGCGTGGTCATACCACCTGTAACCCCAGCTCCAGGTGACCCAACAACCTTTTATGGGCTCCATGGGCACCACCATACACATGGCACACACAGAGGTACACATGCACACACAAACAAAAGTAAAAATGGATCCTAGTTTCTAAAATAGAGATGAGTGCCTGAAAGTGTAACAAAACACACCTAGGTATAAGCACCTAGATTGTGTACCCTGGGTACTTATCATTCTACACTCTTCACACTCATCTCTACCTGGAGCATCAGTAACCCGTGTCTCACAGGACTCCTGTGTTGAGTACATGGGGCTAAAAGTAACTCCATCCCCAGCAGCCACACCAGGACTGAGCTGCTTTAGTTTCACAACCAACAGCTGCAACACCCTAAAGTCTCCTCATGCCACAGCACACAGGCCTCTCTAGGTAACTCTAGACTCACGTGGCACTTTCATTGTATGGTGTCTGATCAACCCATCGCCACTGCCGATGACCTGGATCCGAAAGCCCGATAAAATAAGCATCATGAACATTCAGGATCTTGGTGATGGAATCCTAAGAGGAAGGAAAGATGAAGCATTCAGCCTGGATGGAGGGCTGCTGTTTCTGTTATAGAAGTTTTATATGCTCTTTTAAAAATTATTATAACAACATAAAATTATAGGTTCGGTGTGATGCACATATGCAAATATATAATAATCAAACAGTTCATCTCTCCGACCCTTAAACAGTTTTCAAATTTTAGATTCATACACAATAATTGTACATTTTAGAGGTACTCTGTGATACTTTTTCTGGTCACACAGAGATGAGAAGACAAAGAAAGGATCAAGGACTAGAAGGGCCACTCCCACCCCCAGGAGGGCCATCGTCCCCATCTGACCAGGACACAAAGTCATCACCCATAGGCCTGATTTCCATGTCACTGGAAACAGTCTCTGCCCTGATCATAATAATTCTCATCTCAGACTCACTCCCCTCTTTTCTTCCCCAAGACCGTTCTTGAAAGTTGTACATGACAGAATTTTGCAGATGAATCACTCTCCACTTCGGATATTTCCTTTCTGATGGCTGGCTGTGACTGCTGATTCCATCCCATTTCCCTAGTCAGCTCTGCGCCCTCCTCTGTTAGGCAGTTGCTACTACAGGAAGCATTAGAGGGCTGGGATGGCACACTGGTCTTTCAGGCAGAAACATTTCATCCTTCCCTCCACCCTCAGGCCTGGCATGTCTGTTGCCATGGTTCCTTGTGGGCTGTTTAGCTCCACTGAAGCAGGAGCAAGGTGTAGAATGCCAAGGCTGAAGCTACCTTTCCGGCTGATTGATGGAAAGCCTTCTGCCACATCACCAACTCCCATGTCCGCAAAACTCCCTCTCAGTAAAATGAGGCAGACACCAGGCAGAACACAGGCGCCACTCCCTCCCACAATGCACCTGCTCTTCCTTGCTGTGGACCACCATCAGATGAGCGCCCATGCTGGAGCACTTCTCCTCACTCTCGCTCCAGTTTGCCCAGGCAGTGGGAATGAAGTAGCAGTGGGAACTAAACGGCTTCCAGTCCTTTGGGCAACAGCTCCAGACTTTGTCTATCCGGGAGGAAGGAGATGTGAGTCAATGTCATTAAGTCATTTAAAAGTTGTTGTGTGCAGAGACCACATGGGAGTTGGGACTCCCACTTCTCCAGATGTAACAAGGAGCCTCTCCCCGTCAGGTGCCAAGCAACCCCAGTTTACATCCATCTGCACTAATGGCAAGACCCCTTTGTCCTACTGGGGTGATGTCAGGAACACAGTGTAAAGGGCACTCAGACACTAAAGACATAATGTTAAATAGCCTGGGTCTCCAAAGAATTGAACTCATCACACCAAGAACCAGAAAGTTTGCTACATAAAAAGAATACATACATACATACATACATACATACATACATGTCATTAGCCAAGGCAGTAAAATTTCAGAATTAGCAGACAGATATTTTTCATTAGTGGTGATAAATGTGTGTTAAATATATTACAATAAACAATTTTATATCTGAAAATCATATTCTAAGTTTTCCAGGGTATTACATTGAATCCTGAAAGCAACAGAGATATCCGTGAACCCTCAAGGGGGAAAAACTGAAATGAAATAGAAAAATAAAGTCTCCTATAAAGATCCTAAATGCCTACAGATGAATGCAATCCCTACCAAAAAACAATTCCAAGATTTTTCATAAGATAAATAGGCAAAACAATCTCAAAAGTCAGATAGCAGCATGAAAGACCCTGGATAGTCAAAGCAACCCTGAAGGAAAAAGAATAAAGTTGGAGGTATCACCATGCCTGACTTCAGGCTACACTATAGGGTACAGTACCAGCACAAAAGGAGACACATTGATCAATAAACACAAAAGAGAACCACAGACACAAACCCACACGGCTACGGCCACCTGACTTTTCACCAAACATAAACAGTGGAGGAAGATAGGCTCTTCAACAAATTGTTCTGGGAAAACTAGTTACCAACATGCAGAAGAATGAAGCTAGATCCACAGCCATTCTGAATATAAAATGACTCTACAATGAGTCTAAATGGGTTAAACATCTTGCTGTGAGGCCTGGAATCCTGAAATTGTTAGAGGGGGAAAAAACCATAGAGAAACATTTCAAGATGTAGTCACAGGCAAAGATTCCATGAATAGGACTGCAGGCTTCTTTACAGCAAAGGATACGGCTGAGTGAAGAGATGGAGAGATGTGCTCAGAAGGGCTGGAAACCCTAGACAAGCTCAAACAGTCTTCTGCAAAAGATCTCTTGTCACAGACAGTAAAGATACTGCCTATTTAGGGCCAGATGGTATATTCCAAAGACATCTCACTTATAGATGTCAAAGACACTTTGCTTACTAGAGGCAAAGTAAGGGATAGCCTTAAGCACTCCCTTCTCGTTTCTAAATCTAAGCAATACACCTTCATACATCCACCTTCCAGCTTAGTTTACAAGAAAAACAAATTCTGTATTCAAATTTTGAAAAAAATTACACTTTTAGACACTGTAACTAAAAAAGCAACAGCATCATATATATATATGTGTGTGTGTGTGTGTGTGTGTGTATATACATATATATATATATATATATATATATATAGAGAGAGAGAGAGAGAGAGAGAGAGAGAGAGAGAATCTTGAGGGACTACAGAGAAGGCCCAGTGGTTAAGGGTGTGCACAGCTCTCACAGAGGACTGGAGTTAGTTCCCAGCGCCCACACCTGTGGCTGACAACTACATACAACTCCAGCTCCAGGAATCTGGCGCCCTCTTCTGCCTTCTTCAGGCATTGTACTCACATGCACAAATCCACACACAAGCACATGCATGTATAGGTATTTTAATTAAACAATAAAACCTTAAACACACCCCTTGAGCATAACACCCTAGAGATGCTCACATTCACACCATCAGGTTGCTTTATTCTCTCTGGAGCTCCTTTCTGTTTCTAATAAACTTCACTCAGCCCAGCATTGGCTCTCAGTCCCTGAAACTCTCCTTCATTGTCAATAGGTTGTCATACATCCCAATTATGCCTCATTGGAGACCTCTAGAACAGACTCCCTGAGCATCTGATCTGAACATGTTACCATAGCTCCCATTACTGGGGGATGGATCTACCCAAGAATTATGCTGGAAATGCAGATTCCAGGCATTACCTTTCAAGAATGAATGCTGCTTTGTACATTCCAATCCAGTATAATTCAGTTCTTTTCTGATTGCTTTTTCTTCAAGAAGCTGAGAATATTTTTTAAACAAAGCTGTAAAACAGAATAAAAACACTTCATTTTCCTGAAAGTACTAAGACTCAATTCTTTACTTTTATTGTCTTACATTCTTTGTAGAAGCAAAACCTATAAATGTTAACTACCTGAGTAGTTAGAGCCTGTCTGGGAAAGATTTCCCATCACTATAGTGTGGTGGCTGTGGTCCTAGCACTTGGAAGTTACAATGATGAAGATCAGAAGTTTCAGGTCATCCCTAACTATACAAGTTAGTGTAGTTGGTTGGTTGGTTGGTTGGTTTAGTTACTTGGTTATCTACTTAGTTTATGTCTATCCTTGGCTACACAATACCTTACCACAAAAAAGGCAATTTGCCATCAACCCACAGCCAATATAACCCCGTTATGACACAGATATCTCCAGGAAAAGGACAGGACAGATCATGACCCTGGATAGTCTTCAACATTTAAAAACTAAATTACTAAAGACTACATCTTAGGAGACAAGTTCTATTAAGTATGTGGGTATCCCAGGAAAGGTGAGGGAGAAATGAGCTAATTCCAGGTTACCTGAGCATGAAGTCATAAAGAGTCTGACACTGATCTAAAGGACCTTGTTTCCACCCTCTTCTTTCCTGTCCCTCCCTCCACCCCAGCTAGCCCTGACTCCCAGTGTCCCTACACATTCACGGTGCTCCTCACTTAAAACTAACTCACCTTTCCTCTAGAAATACAATTTTCTTTTTTCTCTGCCTCATGTCCCACTTGTTCCTTGAGTCACTAGAGTCTGGCTTTCACATCTGCTAATTTACCAAACTGTTCCTGAAATAGATATCAATGCCGCTCTTGTACACCTTCCTGTGGGACTTCTCACTTGACTTCTCTTCCTCCTTAACTGTGAGGAGACCGTGGCTCCCTCCAGCTTTGCCTGGCCCTGTTGATGCTATTTCCTGAGCTCCTTCCTGCATGTTTCCTTCTCCACCCACCTCTCTTACAATGAAATATTGCACCCAGTTCCATCTATAACCCCTTTTTCTCCAAATTCCTCTTGCTTAGTGATATTGTATTTCCCTGGGTTGTTGGGGTGGGGGTGGGAACTAAGCATTGTTGTTTTGTTTTTGTAGTCTTGTTGTTGTTGTTGTTGTTATCTGTTGCCTATAAGCAAAGGTCTTCTAAAATGCACACCTCTTTCCTAAAACATGTTAATGTCATTCGAATAGAATCTGTGCATCTGAGATTCAGGTGAACATAAACAAAACTTCGATCATCGTATTCCACCCAAACCTGTTCCTTACCTTCTTGTCTTGTAATAACTTCATGACTTCTGACTTCATGAAGTCAGAATATTAAACCAGGCCTCACTCCTATGTGTTTCCCTAATCCTCAGCCATAAATATTAATCAAAACTTCACCTCCTTTCCATCAAGTTTCTCTCCCCTCCTGTAATCATCAGCACTTGGATCAAACCCCAAGTACTGATCAAATAGGTTCTGAATCAGCTTCCTAATTTTCACCTGTTTTCCTTCCCAAACCTCTGTGAGAGCACACTTCTCTAAGTCACTTTTAATTTAGTATGTTTTGCTTCTGATTCTTCATTGAATCCTCATGATTGTGGCACATTGAAAAACCAGACACACTTTTTAACCTTCCTGATATGAATATCCCTACTCAAGAAACAAGGTCTACTTCTACATTACCTCATCTGAGCTGCCTTTAAGACTTTCTTTGGCCACTAAAATACACAAAAGCAAATGTATGTTTGCTCCATGTTGAGCTTGGCTTCCTGCCACATCTTGCCTGGAAGTTTGCAATTGGCATGGGAAGTTGAGCTGAGAAGGAGTAAGTTCACCTAGGACGGAGGGAATCTTCCAAGAGAACCCAGTCTCAGTAAAGCTACCAAGCAAGATTTAAATAAAAAGCTCAACTAACCTACTAAGTCTACTAAATAAAATAACATTTAGAGGGACACCCATGTAATATGGGATGTACTACTTTATGATATGAGTCTAGTTTTGTATGTCCTCTACAATTTCACATAGCAATATACATTAAAGTAATGCATCACTATATTAGCCCATATTTTTCATGATCCCTCATGTCTACAACACTGAAGTCACACACAGGTCTAGATGTCATCTGCTCCAAGCTTTTCTGAGCTCCCTGTGTTTACTTCTTCCTTCCCATCTGCATAGCATTTCCCATGCAATTTCTTAAGCACTAACTCACTTGACTGTTGTCTAAATTTCTCGACACTGGGGATGGTAGCACTTTCTGGACTCTCTGATATGCTGCCTAATATATAGGAAATGAATATCATTAATTATTGAATGAATGAATATAATACCTACAAAAAATATAATTTCTGCTTTTTAATTTTTCATAAATTGATAGCCATTTACAGAGAAATCCACTATTTTCTGAACTAGCTTTCAGGTCTCATACAATCTGAAACAAAAAGTAAATGGTTAGAAGGAAATTCACTTGAGCTCTGTCCCTGGAATATCTCTGGCCATATCTTCTCATCACCCTGCTCAGTCCAAATATAAGTATCTACACATCCAATGGGGCTGGCTTCTAGACGCTGCTGAGGAAACACAGACCCGTCCTCAGTACTGGAGTCTAACACACAAGCCCAGGGTTTCACTCTGTCACACCAACAAACACACCTGTTTCTCCAGGGAGAAGGAATGACTTTACAGAAGAGTTGTTCTGAGACAGAGCAAAATTCCCAGCGTCATCTGCCTCCCCAGGGAAAGCATCTGTCTAATGGGTCCCTTTCCTCCCCTTAGTTTACTTGTCCCACGGGCATACTTACTGATCACAGCAGTGGAGAATAAGATTGTCAACAGCAGGAAATATATTGTGGATGAGGTGAGGAGGACCCTGAAGAATCCATGACAGCTTTCATGAGATGTGGTCTTCTTTTGAGGATCTGAAAAATGAAACAAATTCATGTCTTCAGTTCTGTTCCTTTTTCCTCATCTTCCTCCCTCTCCTCTCTTTTTGTGCATGATAAACACTAATAACATGATGTTTGAAATAATAGGAAAATGCAAATAGGAAAAAAATCATGTTAATTATAAAAGCATTACAGTAAGTGTAAAATCACCCATTCCTGACATTGAGAATGATTGTTGTCAGTATTCTGGTATGTATCGTTCCAACAAGTTTAATTTTATTTTCCACAACTGATTTCCACATCATAAATATTGATTCCTGACTATCATTTTTTGACATGATTTTTTCCTTTATGATTTTTTTTTATTTTTGATACAGAGTCTTGCTACAGACCTTGAATTCATTGTGTAATCCAAGGTGACCTCAAACCCACAACAATCCCTCCCATCTTGTCTCAGCCTCCTGAATTTAGTGATTACAAACATGTGCCTGAACATCTGGATGAACATTTTTTATACCATCATGTCTTCTTTATCATTTTTATAATGATTGCATAGTACTCCATTATGGACTTTTAAAGTCTTCCAGCTTGCTTCTAACTTCAAAGTATTCACAGTCAATAAGTTACATTTTATGATAAAGTCACCACTTCTGAAAGAGTTACAATACTTTCCAACCTCTTGTGAGGTCCAAGGTTCTGTCCTCATCACTGGAGGGAGATGAGTGAAAAAGGCTACTCAACACTTAGATGCCAAACAGGCTACAACATGTTACAAAATAGAGAAGGGGAAATCACTAAACCATAATTTAATTTTTGAAGCAATTTGTTATACATATTTATGTGTTTTTACACATAAGATACAATAACATTGATGGTGTGATTTTCTCAAGATGGTAAAAGTAAAGACAACACCTTCTCTTTTCCATTGTACAGTCCCACAACCTTTCACATCTGTCTAAAGGCAGAACACTTGGTTAAGACTCCAGTGACCCAGAAACACAGCCAGCAACTAAGATTATCTGTCTTCGTCCTTCATCACTAGCTAGGAGCATCAGAAAATGCTTTCTTACCTGGAGGAGGGTCTGCTTTGATGTCTGAGGAATCAAATTTGTTTTTGAGGTTCGTGTTAATATAAATGTTTTCTGAATACATGTTGAGAAGAAATCTTCCCCTGCTCTCAGAAGATGTGTGCCATCCCTTCTTTAAAACAGGTCCTGAACAAAAGTGGGAGCAAATTATCCTGATACAGCTAGGGATGAGGGGCAGTAACAGCTTCCCTGAGCATGTAGCTTGAGGTCCAATCCCCTGCCCTACAAAGGGAGAACACAGACAGAGAATACACGCAGGACAATTATACAATCATAGCAATACCAAGAACTCAGACGGGGAGAGAAGAAAACAGGAAGGAATGGAAAAGAGGAACCAGGCCATTAGAGAAGTCAAACTCCTCACAGAGTTGAGATTCTGACACGTGGTCTAAGACAACCTCTACAATGAAGCCTCCTTTTCCCATCTTGTGCTGTGATTTCTACTCCTGAGCCCTAAAGAGCTGCCACTTAGCCTCCCTGAAGTGTTAACTTGGAAGAAGTGAGGGCATAAACGAAAAAAATGCAGCATAAACAGCAAAAGAAACAATTAGCAGGGTGAAGAGACAGCCTACAGAATTGGGGGGGGGGAATCTTTTTCAACAGGGCTCATGAACTGATCAGAGAGTTCTCAAAGGAAGAAATATAGATGGCCAATGATACCTTAAAATGTGTTCAAAATATTTACCCATAAGGGAAATAAAAATTTAAATATTTTTGAGACTCCAACTTGTACCAGTCAAAATGAAGGGGAGACATACGAATCCCTGGAAGAATCTTCGGCATATACCCCCAAAGGATGCTCAATCATACCGCGAGGACACTTGCTCAACTATGTTTATAGCAGCATTATTTTATAAAAGCTAGAACCTGGAAACAACCTAGAGACAGGGTTTCTCCCATGATAGGATCTGGTATGACTTGGGCTTGTGTGCTGTGTAATAACCACTGTGAGTCCATATATTCATCACTTTGGCTATTAAAAACTCCTGTTCCTTCTTCCACAGTGTTCCCAGAGCTCTGTAGGGAAAGGAGTTGTGGTATGGATGCCCCATTTAGGGGTGAACATTCTGCTTAATGTCTGGACCTTCGCCAGTTGTGGCTCTCTGTGTTAATCATCATCTGTAGCAAACTGAAGCTTCTCAGGAGAGGTATTGAGAGATGCATTGATCTTAGGGCTTAATGATGAGTTTCAAGAGTCAGTATACTATGTCCCTCTAGCTAAATAACAGTAATAAATTCTCCCCTGTGGCCTGTGATATGTCTAGCCATAGGTTCTTAGCCCAATAATGGTGCCAGGGATGTGTTTCATCTTATAGCGCAAAACTTAAATCTAATGAGAACATCATTGTTGCTCCCGTGATGTACCAGCCACTATTGCACCCGTGACACTGCCTTTCCAGGTTAATCATAACTGTAGCTCCCAGGATTCATAGCCAGGGAGTATGCGGGAAATGAGCTCAGAGTGTATTGTATAGGTATATGAAAATGTCCTATGTAATTATACCACATGCAACGAATAATACAAGAGACTTTTTAAAAATAATACAGTAAATTAAAACTAAAAAGAGCATTCTGAAGAGTAATCAAGAATGATAGCAATAGCCTATACTGTTTGGAAGTCTATGAGACCTACAAGTACAAAACAAGTAATAAATTCCTGGCTCTGGGTTTTTATTTGCTAGCCTCCGTTTGGTAGGGACATTGTTGCCATATTACAGGATAACTCCATTTTAACGTGTGTGTGTGTGTGTGTGTGTGTGTGTGTGTGTGTGTGTTTTAGAAATCCTATATGGCAATATGTTTTCATATGACTTTTTCAAAAGGTCTTTAATATTATTTATCCATCCTAAATTACTCTATCCTCCTCTCCCTTAACCAATATAACTCTTCCTGTTTCATTATTCTCTTTTAACTCTTTATATCACTGCAGTCTATTGCTCATCCTTTTAGAGGCCTCTTCCTCGTCCCTTGGGAATTTCCTGACCTCTATGCGTGTAACAAATAAAACATATCTAAGATTCGAAGCTAACACCCACAACTGAAGAAAAATGCACATTTGTCTTTCTGGGTCTGGATTACCTCATTCATAATGACTGTTTCCAGTTCCATTCATTCACCTGCAAATTTCATCTTTCTTAACAGTTGAATAATATTCCATTGTGTAAATATACATTTTCATTATTCATATTCCAGGCCATTGTGAACACAGAGGATCAAGTGTCTCTAGATTGGGAGGAGTCCTTTGGGTAAATGCCCAAGAGTGGCATAGCTTGATCATGTGCTAGATATTATTTTTAGCTTTCTGAAGAACAACGATATTTACAGCCATTTCTCCAGTTTCCACTCCCACTGGCAATGGATTAGTGTTCCCCTTTTCCCACATCAAACCCAGCATGTGTTGCTGCCTTGTTTCCTTGGTTTTGTTTTCTTTTGCATTAGTCATTCTGACTGCAATGACATAAAAATCTCAAAGAACTCTTTAATTGCTTGGCTAAGGATGTTTTAAAAGTTGTTTTCTTAACTTTTTTTTTTTTTTTTTGAATTGTTCATTCCTTTCTCTTTTGGGAGGAGTGCTTTCCTTTTTCTCTTTGTGTATTCTAGATATTAACTCTGTCAGATATATAGCTGGTAGAGGATTTTTTCTCATGCCATGGACTGCCTTTGTTGTACAGATGCCTTTAGTTTCACGAGGTCCCATGTATTAATTTAATTAATTGATGGTCATAATGCTTGTACTATTGGAGTTCTGTTCAGAATGTCATTTCCTGTGCCATTGAAGTCAAGTATGCCCCCACTTTCTGCCCTATCAGACTCAGAACCCCAGGTCTTATGTTAAGATCCTTGATCCATTTGGGGTTGAGTTTTGTGCAAGATCAGTACTAAAAGTCTGGTTTTGTTCTTCTGCATATAGCTATCCAGTTTGACCAGCACCATGTGTTAAAGATGATATCTTTTCTCAAACCTGTGTTGCTGGTGTGTTTGTCAAAACCAAGGTGAGTTATTTTTAGCCTGTGTTTATGCCAGTACTATATTGCCTCTATCATTATATCTCTGTGGTATAACTGACATCTTGGGTGATGTTCCCTGCAGGTCTTTTTGTTTGTTTTGTTTTGTTTTTGTCGTTGTTATTTAAGATTGTTTTTGTTATCCTGGGTCTTCTGTATTTATAGAAGAAAGTTAATATAGCACAAGTTCTAATAGGTCTTAATAATAAGCCTGGAGTCATATATTAAGGGCTGAAAGCTGAAAGGTCAGGAAAGCAGGGCTGCTAGCCACTAGAGCTCTGTGAAATCCTCAGACTGAAGAGGGGCCGAGTTCTTGTCTTCTCCCCTCTCCACCCAGCCATCTCACTTCCTGTTTGTCTGTACAGACCTCCAGACCTCTATGGTTAACTCTGATCTTCAGGCAAGCTTTATTTGTCAGAATATAAACAAGATTTCACCACATTTCCCCATTTTGTCTAAAAATAAAAAAGGTTATAACTAATATAAGAAAAACTATATACAGTAAGTACAATAACTATGGATAATATATACAGGCAATAAATACATCAACATTCTCTAGTCCATTAACAATTGACAAACTGAGAGAAAATACTCTGTATCTGTCCTATCATGGTGAGTCCAAAACGTTGTACCTAATTTACTTTCTATCCTAACTTGCATTACCAAAACTCTTTTTATGTCTCTAAACCTTAAACATGATACATTTCTCCAGTGAATTTCTTTTCTGAATCTGATAACAAAGAAAACTAAAACTAGAAAGTCTTCAACTCCATCAGAGACCAGAGAAGGAAATGATATTGTTGCCTGAGTAAGCAATATGCAAGAAAGTGACTTCCAAAAAAAAAAGTGAGAAATGACAGACAGAAACAGCTGCCTGCCTGTACAGTCCCCCAAGGTTCCTCTGCAATATTGAGGCATCCACCTTTGGCCTACAGGCCTAGCATATCTCAAAGACTTTTCGGTGAAGCAGAAAACTTGAAACTGTCCCACCTGTATTGTCCGTTATTTTTCTCTGTTTCCTACAGCTTGCCTTACAGACTCTTCCATGAAGCAGGAACCCTGAAGGACAGTCCCATCTTGTTTTGGCAAGTTCAGCAGTCACTTTTCTGTGTGCCATGCTTGTTCAGATTATATAACATATTATCACGCAGTCCAGGCAAAAGCAGCTTCTTGCCCAAATGGCTAGTCTTGCCACATTGAAAGCAAACTCCATAAGGAGGTTCTTCCATGTCCATCATCTTCTTGAAGCAATTGATGCTGCCAGGAATAGACGTGATTCACTGTTGAGAAAAGTCTAAGTTCTCAAAACATTTTAAATGCCATATTCTGTAGGTCTTTGAAGTGTCTGAAGATTACCTATCCATCTGAAATATATCTCTGCATATCTAGAAAATCTAACACTATAAGCTTGACTATTATAGATGACTATTAATTTGTATTTTAACTATACAGTTTTAAATGAGCTCTATAAACATAAAAACCTTAAACAAGAGTAGAAATATATAGTATGACAGTCATGTAGACAAAAGAAAAGGTTTTCCTTCTGTATAGAACTTAGTCTGTGGTCTGTGGTCTGGCCAAGCACACTCTGGTACAGACAATGAATCAATATTTTGCCTATGGAAATGTGAACAAGGCAACAAAATTTCCAAAACCTAGGTTCTTTAACTTGTATCCTGTCTCCACTCCCCAATGGGCATGGTCAGTGCAACAGGTATGGGTGGGGTGGACATCTCACTACAATTCTGCTTTTAGTCTAAATAAAAGATTTAGGCCTGAAACAAAACTATATACAAGGATAGTAAATATCAAGTATACTCTAGGAAAAGGAAAATTAAGAACATGCAAACATAACACCTACATATCCAATTCTATAGAAATTACTATAAAGTTGTCCTAAGCTGGAAAGTTTAAGTCTTGTACCTAATATTTCTATCTAGGGAGAGAGAACAATAATTGTGACAGTCTAATCTTCAACCTCATCAAAGGCCTGAGAAGGAAGATAACAATAGTAGAGTGGGCAGGAAGTGCAGGCGAGCAGCTTCCAAAAGGTGTGGTGAAGACAGAAACAGCAGGCTACCTGGACAGTCACCTAAAGTCTCTCAGCAACATCAGGCAACCAGTTTTGGCTAAAGTCTAGAGTATCTGACAGACCACTACAGAAGCAGGGAGGTAGAAAGGCTATCTTACCCTGACTTGGCAAGTTTTAGCAATCTTCTATGTTTGTCTCCTGCAAGCACAGCAGGA